TTATCGTTTCGCTGACCGTTGCTTTCCTAGGGCCAGTCGATCGTATCAGTTGATAAAGGGCACGGCTGTTTCCCGTAGCAAAAGCCTTCTCCATCTCCCGAGCTTCCGATATCCACCAGAGCTCTCGGTCTTTCCATAGACTCTTCACTATTTGGCGTTTGCGGGATTTGCGTGCGCCGTCGTGCTCGTTGCCTGCTTGTATGGCTTTCCTGGTATCAATCATGGATAACGACCTCGACGACATCCAGTGGTCTTGTGGTCGAATTGGAGAAGTCGGGCAGGCAGCACTGAACGCCGCTAGCATAGCTCCTTTCACATTTTGCCACGCTTCATCCACATGCTCACTGCCACCACAGTATTGGTTTACTGTGCAGTTGTTGGGCTAGCTCAGATCGATACTGTTGAGCTATGGCAGTTCTTCGAAGCTGGTGGATTGGCATGCTTCCTGCCGACTTGCGAGGGCCTGAAGGGAAACGAACTGTCAGGCGTGCGCTCACCATGGCGTGATCGGAATCAAATGGTGTTCCCAAGAAGGAACGGCAGTCTTGAATTGTGGCTCTCCACCGGTAGCTGATGGCCACGTATGATGTCCACTGATGATAACTGAGTAGTTCTCGTGTTTCTAATAATCATTATTTTCGTTGTTTAACGGAGTATTCTTCGTTAAAACATACTTCTCAAGTTTAGTTATAGAGAAATCCACTTAATTTGATTGACCTACATGGTAAAGGCTGATGATTATCGCATGAGTTCACTAGGTTGCGCTAGTGTGTGTAATAACATTGAACACTTGGAGCGTTCACTTCAGACGTGGAGAATGCCATCCCATCCTCAGAAAAACTTTTGGAAGACACCAGAATGCAGACCCCAATGATGGATGTTGAACTCCGGATAGCTCAGAGGTCCACCGTTTACCTATCGGTTTCAAGATGGACATTTTCTTCATCAGTGGAAATCTACACTTCCATAAGTACGGAAATGTCAGTCCCCTACCCACGAAAAAATATTGGCAGGAACGATACTGGGAATATTCACTGTGCCGGATCTGGAGCCAATTAACTGACTAGACCTCCATTTGGATGCCAAACGAATCGCTGTCGATTCTTATTGAGTACGTTTGAGAATTTGCGCTTTACTGCATATAAATCAGTAGTTTCACGTAGGGCTGCATACTGCTCAGCCGAAAAGCGTATTCAGTGTATTCAGTGATTGAACCGGTGCTGACTAACGGGCCCGTACCAGATGTGATAACGACGACCAATAAAACCGGTACTGTCTGCAATGAACAATCCAGTATTATTATACATACACTACTTGCAAAAAACTTGTTACAGAGGCATTAGCACGCCGTCGATAAATAAGAGCAGGGACCTTATTGGTAACTGTCCCAATCACTCGACTTTCCGACCGCGTTTGTGTACCATTACATGTGAACGCAAGATTACGCGACACTGGTTTCATATTGCACTATAACATCACAGATGGGGAAGTGGAGACAACACAACGGTAAAAGACAACGAAAAGCTGTTACATGATTGGTCGAATAAAACTTCGCGGATAAGGTGCAAGTCAAACGGCTAGTTTGAACAGCATGAAGCCAAATCACACCTAATTCGCATGAATGGCATTCCGATGAATGACTGGTGGCTGCTGCTTAAGTTGTAGCAATAAAATCCGCATCCTATTCAAGTCTTTGGATGGATCCTTAGTGCCCGGGTGACGTGAAACAGGTGGTGTACCGGAACCATCCTCAGGGTTTGGAGACACGAAGTTGCACAACTGACACACACGGTCCCACAATACAGCCTGACTAGCATCCGCACCAGAGATGGAGGAAGATGCTTCTGCGGCCGCCGTTTGTTCAGCACGCAGCTCTTTCTCGTGGGCTCGACTGTCCTTTATCGCACGTGACAGCGATTCACGATACTGCATTGCCCAGTTGTGTAGATCCTGGAAGGCCATAAAGTGGAAAGATGTGCAAACTTAGAACAGTACTGAAGAAGATGAAAGCTAAAACCCTATTTAGAGGGTACCGACATCAAACACGAAACTAGATCGGCAATATACCAGACAACCGGCAACAATGAGACCCAAATCATAATAAAGACGGACTGTTTGTAAAATAACACGGCACAGGGTAACTTGATTCGGTCGATAGTGTATGCGTTGGTTTTCACAATCGCACATTCCAACAGAGGATAAAGCAAAGGTCCAGTGAAGTATCTCTCATTGCTCAAGTGTGGGCAAGTATACCCATAGCTTTCCTTGTGAAATTGATTACATTTAGGGGTCATTTTGTAACAACACACTGTGTAAGGTGACTCAAGTAGAGGACACATTGCTGACACTAAAGGTGGGGCAAGAATGTAGATGACGCTTAGGTCAGATATGTCAGAAGACTTCACCTGCTACTATGTGGTGGTGGCGCAGACGACTTCAACACTTGGCACAATGTAGACTTGACGAGTAATCCATCACCGGCGTGAGTGGTAGCAATACTGCTCAGTCTGAGCGTTACTGACGGCAAACTAAAAGCATCCGAAACGTCTACGAAGAACTCTGCCCGCTTAAAGGTTGATCCTCACCTTTCTTTGACTCAGCATACTTGCATCTGATAAGATTCACTAGGCCGATTCAATGGTTTGACTCATTTTCACATTCAAACTGACTGGCTGGAGAATGCTCATGGAAAAAGCTTCTCATTGATCGTCACCTAGATGAACTTACATAAAGATGCTGCAACTGTGTCATTTGGAAATGTTCGGACCTATCGAACACCTTTGGTCGGTAAGTTCGCCTTTCCCCGAATTTTTCAATCACTATATCGTACAAAGGCGTCAAAATGACAATCAAATCATCTTTTGGTTGCCTATGCGCTCTGTTATTCTATACTTTGATGTGAACTTCAGTTGTTTTATTCCGATAGCACGGAGTAAAGCTGAAAGGAGCAATCTGGTACCCGACCAAATATCAAACAATAACGAGGACAGGAATTGTATCTGGATAACCTGTCCGCTATTTATTACTCAGAAATATACTCGCAACCGAGCCTCATCACTTTGATAGTAGCTCAGTTCCGGTTTTCTGTGGGATACATGACAGTCCATACCATTTTAATGTTAACCAATGGACTTCTATAGACCCACAGAAAAGTGCGTTAAATGTCAGTCTGTCGCTCAGTCTTCGTGGGATGAGCGATTGCACCGTATGTTATTCGGGGTTCGCCTTAAACCTATGAACTTACCCGGGTCCAAGCAAACCTTCGAAATTCAATACCTGTAGTCCACGGCACAGCTGTGGGCGTTCGGACAACGCCGGGAGTGTAAAGGCACGGCGAAGACAAACTAGCTAATAAGAGGACGCGAGCATGCCTGGTCACTAACTCGCTTAAGCAAACTTCATATGTATATACGTCCATATTTGTCCTAAAGCCCTGCGGGAAGGAAAATTCCAGCCTTCAAACTATAGGTGAATCTATAGCGCCTTTGGAAAACGTTTCAAGTTGTAGTAAACAAATGCGGCCAACTTCATCGAGTTCCATACCGCGTTCGACTTGGTCCCGAGGGCGTCATGATAGTTGGTGGCATAAAAGTCAAGCTGCTGACAGCAAATCAGGCCTATTGCTGCGCCAGAACGCAAACCCAAGTACACAGAGTAAAAACAGTTGCGTTCATAGTGAAACCCAGTCTGCGACAAGACCAGTCCCAATAGCCAGTTTTTTTAACCTGGTAATCGACTGGAAGATGAAATATGCTCTATTAGCTGCTTGAGTTCAACCATTTTCAAATACGTAGACTGCTGACGCAAAATACACCAATGATGTCATCGTTTTGAACAATAGCAGAAAATTTACAAAGGATCTTGGATCGGATCAGCCGGTAGGCCTCGTTATAGTCGGTTTTGAGTTCACTGCCTGCAAAGGCATGAATAAACACACGCCAGACCACTTCCTATCAACAGCCAGACGATCTTACAAGCCAATTCATTCAACTACTGGACTTGAGTTTTCCTGCTGAGCGGTTAGACGAAAACCCTCACCGCAGAGGACACGCCGAAATAAGCTGCCCGACCATGCGAAGCTTCGTGGAAACAACCTCAAGCTTCGCCCATTATGTGCTACCATTGGATCTGTGGTAGCTTTTGAGATTCGGCCACTCAGAATGGACGGACTCAAAAAGATAGAAGGATTCTATCATCAGTGTCCGTGACAGTAAAAGTACAGCGGACGGGTGCATCCTACAACGACTTTTTCAGGCGACGCCGTCATGAAATTTCGGGTCCTTTCAACATCCGTTGCTGGCCTTTTTAGTAGTTCGCAACAGCCTGCACAGGATAGACGCCGCAGTTTGGGTACGCCGGCTGAAAATCTGGATATCCACCATTGAGAATACCACGGAACATCCAGGCGTTCAAGATGTATACAAAATTCACCTGAGCCCACAGTGGCTAAAGATTCGTCCGCTAATCGCCGCTGGTAAGCAGCACCAACTCGAAACACGACTGGAGCCGACCCATCAGGCGTCGAAATCAGATAATTGTGGAACCACCCCCAAGGTGAGGCCACACTGCGAGTTGGTAGCTCCGATTCACAGAAAAATCTGGGGTCGAAAAGAACCCTTAGAAAGAAAATAAAACACCGGCTAATGTCACATTCTACTAATGTAGTCACTGATGCACAGAGTGGCTCATTCCAAGGTTTTCACGAAGAGAATAAGGCCGTACCGTGAATAAAGTAAGGGGGATGAAGAACTCGCGTCACACACGCACACACTAGAAACACTACTACGTTTAGTGCTTTTCTCAAATAAACCCAAAAGACTATCTTTCAGCATAGTATGCTGTGGCTTGTTCCTGCCGCAGTAATCTAGCCTTTTGGAATATCCATCAATCAGTTCAACTCTCAACCGACGGAAAGGTTTTGTGTCCTACTAGCTCACTGTCATGAATATTCTTTGTGCTCACATTATCGTTTTGTATTAACCATGCTTTCGCCTTCGTTTTCAGCTTATGTACGTCTATTCTTAGACAAGTAAAGCGCTATTCATTCTACGCTATGCATTCTTGTTCTCGCGCTCAATCAGAATCGTAACAATTTCCTCGTCTAAGAATACAATGGAACCATTGCTGCGACCCAAGTGTTTCGA